ACACACACACACACACACACACACACACACACACACACACACACACATCCCTCCCAGTACTAAGATTTTCTGACTTGGACATAAAAGGCTATTAATTAGAAGCTGAAGAGGAGTCAGTATTGTGGGCAGATATGAAATACTAACGTGGAAACCATTTTATGTAGAAAGTCATTTTAGATTAAAAAAGAAACCAACAACTACATATCGCCAAAAGGCATTACTCACCTACATGTGCCCTGTTGTCTCCTTGTAAAGAAAATGAAATTAATCTTCCAATCCACTCACTTTTCCATGTTCTGCTACTCTAACTATGTATCGGAGGGTTCGGTGAGCCTCCTGACATAGGGGAAACTCACAATAAACAAATTTATTTTATAAATTTCCTCCCCGCAGTCTGACTTTGATACTACTATGCATGTATATGGCAACTAGATTCCCAAAGTAATACCTACATTCAAGTCCAGTGGCACCAGAGAATCAACCAACCATATCTGCTACCATTGCTTTGTGATATATAGCAATGGCTAAGAATTCACAGGATTGTAGAAAGAACCCTAGAGATTAAAACAATGTTATTTGAAAGAAACTGAAGAGCTTCCAAATGGCTATAGACTAAGTCCCCCCCACGTACTCCTTTCTTAAGATACACATCTGGAGAAGAAGCCCCTTGTGAAACTCCACCCTGCCCATGTATAATGTATGAGAAGGAAGGGATTTTCTTGGCATGCACTTCCCACCTCTAATTTATATATAACCTTTGGAAAGTACCTTGGGAGTCTCTGTCCACAGATAGATGCCATGGAAAGAGCAGTGGGGTCCAGCCATTTTGGAAAATAATTTGGAACTATAGCCCAAAGTTACTAAACTGTGACTCATCTATACTACCACTAGGTCTATAACCCCAAAGAGATTAAAGAAGGAAGAAAATGACTTACATGTAGAAAAATGTTTATAATATCTCTTTTTGTGTTAGCCAAAAATGAGGATGTCTTCTTATTGAGTAATGGCTAAACAAAATATGGTGTATGAATATATTGGAATATTATTGTGCTATAAGAAATGATGAAGAGGATGATTTTAGAGAAACCTGGGAAGACTTGTATAAACTCATGCAGAATAAAATGTGTAGAACCAAGAGAACAATTTATATGGTAACAGTGAAATTATAAGGAAAAACAACTTTGAAAGACTGAAGAATTCTAAATAATACAACGCTAACCATGAGTGCAGAGGACCTATTATGAAATAGGCTACCCAACTTCTGACAGAGAGGGGATGAATTCAGGGTCCTGATTGAGACGTGCGTGTGTGTGTGTGTGTGTGTGTGTGTGTGTGTGTGTGTGTTTTACATGGCCTATGTGGGATTTTTATTTTATTCTACTATATTATATATATATTATATATGTATATATGTGTGTATATGTATGTGTGTGTGTGTGTGTGTGTGTATATTTGTTACAAGGATTTTGTTTTTCTTCCCTCCTATCCCTACCCCAAGGCAGGGCAGAGATGAGGAGATAAAATAGATTTTTGTTCATTAAAAAAATTAAATTCAATTAAATTTGTTTTTAGAAGAAAAGAGCAGAGAGATTGAAGTCATAAGACCTGAGTTCAAGTTCCATTTCCAACTAGCTATGTGACTGTCTAGAGGCAAGTTCTTTAAACCCTCTCACCCTTGGTTTCCTTATCTGTAAAATGGGGAAAACAACCCTTGAAAATACCTATCTCACAAGACAATAGTAAAGAAAGCGCTATGGAAACATTAGTCATGAATGAATACAGAGAAGCAAGGAAAGACTTACATGAACCAATGCAAAGTGAAGCAGAGTCAGGAAAATAATATACATGCCGATTATAACAACACAAACGGAAAGAGCAACCACAAAACAAATAAAAATGGACATTGTTTCCAAGAACAACTTTGAGAGAAGAAGTCATTTGACTGTTATAAATACCCAAATTAACTACAAGGACATATAAAAGAAGATGCTATCTGCATTTAGAGAAAGAACTGATAAATAGAAGTATGTAAAGAATGATTTTACATAAATTTACATATTTGTGTCTAATGGTAGCCTTTTCTAGAGTGAAGGAGAAGAAGAGAGAAAGGAAGAAAAAAAGGAAAAAAAGAAATTTAGGTGATAACTTTATTATGTGTTTAAGAGGAATAACAAGTTGTACATGATTGCAGTTTCATGTGCAATCTTTTTTTATTATATCATGTTATGAAAATGCTTGTTTTATTCCATAAATTCAAAATAAAATAAATAAAAATTTAATAAATTAATATTGCAAAATTACTAAGACCAAGTTTGACTCCAAGGAAAATTATGTATAAAAAGACACCTCCTTTACTTACTTCTTTGCTACCCCCACCAGTGGGAAGATAGGGGATCATTTATGGGTGTGGAATATTGAATATTATATCAAATATTTTTCAATGTATTGATTAGTTTTGCTGAATTTTTCCCTCTCTTCTTCCTCTTTTTCTTTTAAAAACTTCTTTGTTATATAGGATGATCCCCTGGGAGAGGATGAGATACATGGGGAAATCTAGGTGATATAACAAAAGATATCAATAAAATCTTTTTTTTTTCAAGAAAATGTTAGTTATTATCACTGTTATTATCACTATCCCTATCAGGAATTCTCTCATCTAGGAGAGCTGGACAAAAGAAAGAATATTTTGACCATAAGGGTGAGAAAAGAACGGAGTAGACTACCTTCAAACACAGGTCTACACTGGATTGTTTAAGCATCAACTTGAGGATAGCCAAGGACCTGGACCAGAGGACTTTGCTCTGTTTTGTTGTTGTTGTTGTTGATTTGGTTTGCTTTGGTTTGGTTTGGTTTTGTGTTGAGGAGATTATGGTTTTTTTTTCAATTGTGCATTAAACAAACACAAAATAAAATCATCAATTCCATATAGATTGTAGGACAGAAGAGGGTTATACATGAAACTGTCAATTTCTGTGATGAACAGCTTGCTTTTCTTTTTAAGTATAAATTTAACATGTAGCTTTTAAAGCTGTTCTTCTTGTCTATGATTCTTTCTGGCCTTCCTGCATTCTCTTCTCATTTTAAAAAAAATTTATCCCTAATTTCTCACTCCCTTTTCCCTGACTCCACTCCACTACAAAGAAAATAAATGTTCCATACCAAATATGTATAGTCAGACAAATCAGATTTCCATGATGGCCATATCCAAAAATGTATGTCTAATTCTGTGTCTTGAATCCTTCACTACTCTGTTAGCGGCAGAGTACTTTGGAATTACGGTACTTTGGAATTGATCAGAGTTTTTAAGTCTTTTAAAGTTGTTTTTCTTTACAACGTTGCTGCTATTTCACAAATTATTCTCTGACCAGATGACCTCGTAAGGTCTCTCCCAGTTTTATGACCCTATGATTCCATAAGCGGATGGGAAAGAAGTTAATAATGTGATTTTCAGGAGATTACTTTCTTATGTCTTTCCTTGCAGGCTAGATATGCAAGAGAGGAAAGAATTGAGATTTATCATCATTGTGAATTATACTGTAAGTCTTCTCTCAGGCTGAATTGACACAGCAAAAAGGAAGGATTGGTGAGGATAGATGAACTCATATGAGCAGAGGATCATACACTTAGAGCCAGAAGGAGCTCAAAGGCCATCTAGTTCAAACTCAACATTTTACAGATGAGAAAACTGAGCCCCAGAGTTTAGTCACTGCCCGGAGACGCACAAGTAATAGGTGACCGAGCCAAGGTTCTGATTTTCAGACCAGAATCACCTAGATTATCGCTTTGATTATAGAGACTTGTTTCAGAAGGCTTTGGTTTTTTGTATGTTTTGCCTTAAATGACCAATTTTTTAAAAATTAGTGTGATGGACCTTCTCCCTGGGCATACTAACTAAAGCTGCTCTTCTTTTCTGCTCCTTCTTGTCATTTGGAAGTGTAGGATTCAGAGGTGGGGTCTGGGGATGTGGGGAGACATGATACCAACTAAAGCCTGGGTCCTTCAAATACAGAAATTTGGAAATCACATTGTCTACCCGGCTAGCTCCACTTATTTCAAAGATGCTTTGAGGAACCAAAAAGTTCCTTTATTTCTTAAAGGTCACCAGAAGGAAGTCCATTTAGATAGTGTCATGAAATGGGAAACTAGCACTAGATTAGAGTAACAGCATTAAATAGTAATTAAAATTAAAAAGTCATATTAATATAGGTTACATAGCTGCTAAATACTTGTTGACACCTTGAAAAGTTGTGATATAAAGTTTTAAAACACAAATAACCCTTTTTTCTTTGCATTTTCTAAATAACATGGTTTTATTAATTTATTTTGATTTATCAACAATCACTTCCATAAGCATTTGAGTTTTAAAATTTTCTCCCCTTCTCTTCCCACCTCCCTCCCCAAGGCGGCACACAATCTGATGTAGGCTATACATATACATTCCTATTAAACATATTTTCACATTAGTGATGTTGTAAGGAAGAATTAGAACCAATAGGAGGAACCACAAGAAAGAGAAAGCAAAACAAAACGGAAGAAAAAAACAGCAAATAGTTTTCTTCTATCTGCATTCAAATTCCTTAGTTCTTTCTTTCGATGTGGATAGCATTTTCCATCATGAGACCTTTGGAGATGTCTTAGATCCTTGCATTGCTGAGAAGGGCTAAGTCTGTCAATGTTAGTCATCTCACTAACATTTTTTTTTTCATGTTAAAAACAGGCCTCTTAATATCACAATCAGATTTTTTAAAATTGTATACTTTTTTTGACCTGCTTCTAGCCCAACCCCTACAGACATTATTGAGGGAAGAAATCATTGCAGAGGTGGGAGGGGCCAGGAAGGGCTATCTTCCTCCTACCACCAGCAGCAGCTGCTGCCCAACTACAACCAACAGGCAGATAGTCCCAGGAGCCCAGAGTGTAGCAGCATCCCCCAGTCTAACCATCCTGCTTCCAACCTAGCCCTCACAGCCGTCATCTAGGGTAGCAATTCCTGTGAAGGAGGGGCCGCTCATCATCCTCATCAACTACTAAATGACTGCCACCCACAAGGTGGGAAAGCCAGTCTAAGAAGCAAAGTGTGGGTACAGGGGAGGGTGCAGGGTGAAGGTGGGGAGTTTGGTGGGAAGGATGGAAGGACAAGCCAGGCAAGTGAAATCGTCGCTACAGCTTTGACTACTATATCCCCTCAGACTCTGACAGACATAGCTCAAGACTCTGAACCCGAGAGCCTTGAGAATAGACATGCTTCTATCCCAGTCTCCAAAGCCATCATCCTGGGAAGTTGCAGCATCTTGTGTAATCATAGTCTGGCAGCTGATCCTGTGGATGATACAGCTACATCTTTTGAAGACTTTTTAAAATATTCTCCCTTGCCCCTAGTCCCTGAATTGATCAGATACCTGATTAATTATTGCCATGTAGTATCAGAACTAGAAACCACTGGTCTAGGTCTTTTCTGTCACGGGCAGCTTTGGCAGTCTGGTGAAACCTACGGACTCCTCAGAATAATGGCTAGTTTTGTTTTTAAGCATCAAATAAAATGCATAAAATTATAAAGGAAATTAATTATATTGAAATATAGTTATCAAATAAGGATTTACACTCTCAAGAGGGGGTTCAGGATGGAGACATAAAATCATAAATAACACTACAGGTAGTACGGGCAAAGTGCCAAATAAAAGGTATTGCCCATACAACCTAACCTCCTTTTTCAAAAAAATTTCTTCACTGAATTGACTGAACCAACTGATTTCTTTTTTGGGGGGGCTTGGTGTTTTTTTATTTTGTTTTGTTTGTCCAGACCAGCAGGACCTACAATATCAATTAGAAAGCAAGAGAAGGAGACAGAACAGGAATGTATAAAAGTAACCCCAGGAAAGAAGAGCAGGGTACCATATTCCAATGGGTGTTCTTTTGAACTGATGTTTTTCATTTGTTTTAAGTGGTGGGGTTTGTTTGTTTGTTTTTCCTGAGCCACAATTAAATTAGCAGAAAACAAAGGAAACTTTGTACTTCTGCAAAACTTGGTGTCTCAGACTGTCTGCTCTTTGTTCAGTAAGTGTATACTTCCTCCTATTTTATTTAATCTTTCTTTCATTTCCTTCCCACGCAGTACTGATTTTTCTTTATTCCATGGAGACTCTTCGTCTTTGGAGCCTGCAGAAGCAGAGAGAGAACTCAAAAGGTATTCACAACATTGATATGGATGAATATTACATCTCATTTGAATTAAGTCAATCTGTAAACTGGAAATATATATGTATATATGTGTGCATATATATAATATATATATTTATATATACACCACAAATGATATTAGAGTAGAATGAAAACTAATGAAGAAAAAAAATATCTCCAATGAAAATTCCTGGAAAGAACAGCAGAGGAGAAGCAAGACTTTTTATAATCTCTTTAAATGATGTTCTGAAAGAAAATAAGTTTCTAGTCTATAACGACTATGAGGAAGTTCACACTATTAATAGTTACTCTCAGTAGTACTTTTTGAAAAATTTTAGTGAAGACAGCAAAGCTTTTTTTTCCCCCGGGGGCAGTACAACCTGATGCTTTTCCTTTTCTTTACTTTAACTAAAGCTACTGGACTGATGTCAGGCTGATCTCTGCTTCTTTGATGTCCAGCTCTCTTCCAGCAAGAACGCTACATCCCACTTTGAAAACAACACCAAAAATGGTAGGATCAAACTCTGGCTTCCTAAGAAAAAAAGAAAATGTTTTGGTAAATGCCTTGTTCAATACTTTGTAATTTGGTTGAGTGTTATGTAAAATGGCTTGAACTTGGTTTGCTCTTTTTTTTTTTAATCCGAGATCAATCAAGAGGCAGAGAATAGTTGCTTATTCTAAATTTCTGCTAGAATGAATGTAAATTCAGCTTAAGAATAGAGTTTGGAGTAGCAGAAATGACCTTTATGAATGATCATGTTCCCTTCCTCTTGTTTTTAACCCTTTAGCTCTTAAAATAATATTGTTGCTTGGTGAGTCTGAGAATTTAGTCTGATACCTGGTCAAAATGTATGGCATCTCTATTCTGTATGTGTGTATGTGGGATAGAGTGTGCCCCAAAAGTCTTAGTGCAGTTGTAAGCTTTAATTTAATACATATATAATGTATATACATATATTCAGTTTTAATATACATATATAGTTTTAATATCTCAAAACTACACCCTTTTGCAATATCATGTGTGACAAACTAAACACTCATACATACACATACATATATACATATGTAGATGTACATTTCTATAAATATTCACACAAAAATAGATGTAAAATAATTTTAATATAATTACATAGTTTTAATAACTATATATAGTTGATTAGTTTAAAACTGGACTAAAACTTTGGGGACACCCAGGACATACATGTGTATATACACACATGTATATACATATACACAACACAAATCAAGAATGACAAAAAAAAAGGCAGTGATCTTTGTTTCATCTATTTTTTTTTACCATGCAGCAAGTCAAATATTTGATCATGTTTTTGTTACCTATAATTAGACATATATCAGAGCATACAGAAAAAAATTCTGATTTGTAAACAAAAATTCATGTATTACAGACATTGGTCAATGCTTCATTATACTCTAAAAGAGAGGGTCCCAAAGGTTTTTGAAAGAATATCAAATCTATATCTCAAAAAAGAAAACTGCTAGTATAACTTCTGTACAAATCCAGTCTTGCTTTGTTAGAAATGACACACAAATTTAGATGAAAACAATTTCTCTCTTTCTTTCTCTCTCTCTCTGTCTCTCTCTCTCTCATACACACACATCTCTTTATCTCTGTCTCTATTTCCGTCTCTCTGTCTCTTTCTTTCTTGGAACCATGGTATAATGAATATCTCTATCAACTGCTTTGGAATCATGAAGACTTGGGTTCAAATCCCACCTCTGATACAGAATATATGACCATGGGCAAGTCTCATAACCTTTCAGTGGCTCAAGCAAATCTCTAAGACTAAAAATTGCAGAGCATGTATTAATCTATATTGGTAGAGGGAATTTCCTTATCAGAAGTTTCATATGCCAATTTGTATGCCAACTCCTTCTTCCCCAAAATGTAGATATAATCTCATATTTGTGTCTGAAAAATTATTTTTCATGTGTGTGTAGATATATGTATGTATGGGTAGATATGTGTGTATGTATAGGTGTGTGGATAGATGGATAGTATTAGGCAAGCATTTAAGATACAGGTGGTTGGAATCATGCTTTTTACCTCTTTTTAACTTTTTTTTTAACCTCTTTTTTACCTCTTAAGGTATGATTAATACCTAGCACAGTACCCTATGCCTAGGCAATGATTGATAAAAGTTTACAACTGATGATGGTCTTTCCACACACACGCACACACACACACACACACACACACACACACACACACATACATACACAGGGTGAAATTAAATAAACATAGTCTATTTTAAATAAAGTAATTTGATTTTTAAAAATTTCATAAAGTTTATTACAAGGGCTATTCAATTTTGGTCTGGATTTACCCCACCTTAGACTTGTATATTACTAACACATGCTCTTACTATATTAAATCACAACATTAAGTTTGGACTTTGACTTATTAAGTGGCCTTCTTCAAAAAATTCTTTTGTGTGTCTCTACCTGAAGACCAGACTAGCCAGACTGTTCTGTTAAATATTTAACAACCAAGGGCAGCTAGGTGGCGCAGTGGATAGAGCACTGGACCTGAAGTCAGGAGGACATTGAGTTCAAATCCGGCCTCAGACCAAACTGGGCAAGTCACTTAACCCCAATTGCCTAAAAAAAAAGTTAAAAGTTAAATATTTAAACAACCAGCTCTCTACAGGAAAAAAAATGTATATGCATGATACACTTTTAAAGTTTAATCCACAAGTTAAGTGACTTGCCCAGAGTCACACAGGTAATGAGCATTTTGAGGCAAGATTTGAACTAGTCTTCCTGATTCCAAATCTGGATCTCTATCCATGGCACCACATAGTGGCCTCTTTGAGGGAAGCGAATCTATTTAGTTTAGAAAAAAAAAAGTTATCTTAAAAAAATGATAGTAATTTTCAAATATTTTAAGGGCTGTCGTATAGAAGTGGGTTAGTTAAATTTATTTTATTTGGCTCCAAAGTGTAGGAAGAGTAAAAAATTCAACAGCTGGGAGTTACAGAAAAGCAGATTCCAACCAAAAGTGAGTAAAAGTAAGACTTTTTTTTTTAACCAATTGTCACTGTGCAAAAATTAAATACATTTTCTTATGAGATAGTAAGATCCCTGTCCCTGAAGTGTTCAAGCAGACCCTAGATAATTTTGTTAATGTTAAAGGATGGGATAGATGACCTCTAAGATCCTTATCCATCCTGAGATTCAATGATTCTATAAATAGTACACAAATCTATGCTGTAATAAGACTTACAGTTTTGCGGCATTTCTTGTCAGAGAACTTAACATGCAATTAGATATATTTCAACATTTATGAAAAGGGAAGAGGACTGGGTTCCATTCTGTTTTTTTTTTTTCCTCCATCAGAGAAAGAATAGCAGTTGCTTTTCTCCTTTAAGGAAATCTATTAGTCACAACAGAGAAGTATAAAAATATCACATATATAGGCTCTTCTCTTATTCAAAGTGCTTACTTAGCGATGAAAAGAATGTGCATTTATCTAATCCAGGGGTGGGGATCCTGGGGCTTTGCCACATGTGGCCTTCTAAATCCTTATATGCAGTCTTTTGACCACACTTAAGGATTTAGAAGGCCACTTGTGGCCTTCAGGCCCCAGGTTCCCCACCCCTGAATTCTAATCATTCTGTGTAAAATGTTTAAATGTCAGAACATTCACAGTTTTCCACCCATTGTCCACCTGGTACTTTTACTACCTTATCTGCTATTTTCTATTTCACATATTCTAAGAATATCCATATTTCTAGAAGACTTTAAGGTTTACAAAATGTTTTCCTCACCACAGCTGTGTGAGTTATGTATTATTATCTTTATATTACAAATGAAGAAACAGAGGATCCAAGCAGAGAAATGACTTATCCACAGTCACACAATTAGCGAGTGGAGCCAGAATTTAAACATGGGTCTTCTGATTTTCAAATCCATATCAACTATTCCCCACACAGTCACTAATCTTGTGGCTATACTTTCCATCAATACAGCCTGGAATACTTTCCATTCTCCAGTAATAAGAATTGCTCAAATTTATGAAGTGTTTTATGGTTTCACACTAACACTGTGATGAAGATAGTGCAAGTATCACATTCTGAGGTGCTGAGAAGTTATGTGACTTTTCTAAGGTCACATAGATAGTGAAAGAATGAGATTTGAACCCAGGCCTTCTGTCTATAATCCAGTGCTCTTTCTACTTCAACAGCCTTACTCCTGAAAGCCCTATCACCTTTTCAAAATTCTGGCCCCTTATGACCTGAGAAATAAAGGGTATATGTGTCAAGGAGCAGTACTACCTTATGCTGGGTTCTTGTACCCATGAGCTGGAAGGAAGATTCTTCCTTTAAGCCGCCAGCATAAGTAGATGCTCCCTATGCTGGGCTGCTATCTTTTTTTTGTTTGTTTGTTTGACTCTTTTTTCTTCCTTTCTTCCTTCCTTCCTTCCTTCTTTCCTTTTTTCCTTCCTTCTTTCTTTCCTTCCTTTTTTCTCTTCCTTCCTTCCCTTCTTCCTTCCTTTCTACCCTAGGTGGCTAGGTGGTACAAAGGCTAAAGTGCTAGGCCTAGAGTCAGGAAGATCTAAGTTCAAATCTAGCCTCTAGACACATACTAACTGGGTGACTCTGGGCAAGTCACTGTGCCTCAGTTTCCTCAACTGTAAAAGAGAACTAGTAATAGTATCTATTTCTCAGAGTTGTTGTGAAAATCAAATAAGATTTTGTAAAGTAATTTGCATGGTACCTGGCACAAGTATTAATAAATACTTGCTTCTTTCCCCTCCCTTCTCCTTTTGCTCTCTTTCTTCTTTGCTTTCCCATCCTTTCCTCCCTACTTTCTTCTCATCCTTTCCTTAATTTTATTGATAATTTTTCCAACACATCAAAAGACCCCCAGTATACTTCTGATGAAATCACCTCCATGTAAGTACTCTCAAATAGTTAAGCAAAACAGGATAAAAGAAGGAGCATGACCATTAGTTTTGCATCCTTATACTTTAGCAGTTTTTATTTGCATACATACATATATATATATAAATATACAAATACACATATATACACACACACAAAATATATTTAAAGAACATGTGGATGACTGAGTTAATACCAGTGTCATCTAATGTTTTTTAACCTGAGTTTTGTTGCCATCAAAAGCTAGAGTTGTAATCAATCAACAACCATATCATTAAGCACTTAGTTATAATGGTATGTGTTGATCATTCGATTCTACTTTTTGTTCACTCTATATTACTTCATACAAATCTTCCAATATTACTCTGAAATCTTCATTCTCCTTGTTCCTTATGTAATATCCCTCTGCATTCATGAGTTGACTGCAGTTTTGTTTTTTTTAACTGTTAACCAGCATTGGGCATGTTTAGCTTCTTAAATAGCACAAGAAGTCCACACTCTTGCACCATTTGGTTTTCTGTATTAAAGAGCCTACTTTGTGCCAGGCTGAAAACAGGAAGATAACAACAGAACAGTCCTGGCCCTCAAGGAGTTTATGTTCGCTAGTATAAAACTGATAAATTCAGAGTGCAAATAATAATATAAAATAATT